ATGCTAGGAAAAATATTATTTACTCAAGAAGAGAGTAGGTACATGAGCCATAAGTTGGTTTAGAAGCCGCGTGGACACTAATCCAGTTAGTTCTTCTCTCTGATCTTGGTGGATACTATCAGTATGAACGCGATTGGATTTAATCATTCAAAATAGTTCCTCTGTCGCGAATATGATCGATTTGCGAATAGATCTAGTGGGATGAATGAATAGAGAGGAATTCAACTTTTTTCTTGACAAATCACTGCTTTATTTTCTTTATATATTTGTATCCTCCCTAAGTTAACCACTCTTGGGACCGAGCCAAGCGGTTACTATCTAGAGTTGATCACTTTTTAGAGGAACTACCAGAAGTGGGCGAAACGAATTTTTAAAATTGTTCGGTGGGACAAAATGAGACAACTTAGAAAAAACTTTAACGAGACGGGATGAAAGTCATTCTACAATAGTGCAAAGACAGCATACTGCAAAGGCAGGCATGCAGTAATGTTTTGAAAAGTTTCCGAGCGAGACCATGGGAAAATCTTTTTTCTCAAAGTCCTCTGATACAAAAGTTATCGTACCAGATAATCGACTGTGGAGAAGAAGAATCTGCAATCAGTTTTGATCGAACAAACTTTTAAAATCTTTCGATCCATTAAAATGTCTAGTAAATAAGAAGTTTTTGTAAGCGTTTTTCATAATGTGCAGCTGAATGGCTAATATTGTCCAATTAATGAAACCTCCTAATAAAGATGTAAAAGCTGCTGTACGAATGAATAATGAAAAAACGAGCAGTTTTATGATTAGTACGTGTTTTTTACATCAAAGGTGTATTCCTTCGTCTACATTATTCAGCATTAATTTTGATTTCATCATGAAAACAATTATTCCACAAGCTGATGTTGCTGAGGTTATGATAATATCAGATTAATAACGTCGTGCATTTCGACCGAAACTCGCATGAAGTGGTAGATATATTGAAACTGATGTACGTGATTATGTGTGAAAATGATCAATACCAAGAAACGTGTATTCAGGCATTCGAAATGGCAACGCAAGAATTCGGTAAGATAATGACCATTTATCTAATTGGTTCCTTACAATACCAGCAGAATAGAATTCGAATACTTGAACAGTTCGTTTCTCTTTGCTTTTATCTGCAAGGCTCTTGTGTTTGTAACAAAAATGTCTAACTACTTTCTGGACAATTAAAGTTAGCGCATACAGTTAGTTTAGTTCTGAAACTAAGTGGAACTTATCTTTTTTAAGCCTGCGCATACGACAACTACATAGTTTAACGTATTGTAAAAAATTGCATGGGTAGTTGGGATTGAAATTTGACCCTCCATTCATCTCAGGCTGTCGTATTATGCTCAAATTCACTATAATAAGATAATTTTATATATAGATTCTGAATAGGAGACCAGAAACAATTTTGGACTCTTCACTCCTTCTGAGACTTATGGTATTTGCCATGATTCACCACATCATTCTTATGTATTTTATGGCATTTTTTTATATTTAACATTGCTTTTCTTTGTCGTTGATTAGTACTTTTCCTTTTATATAGCTATGCTTTCATTTTGTTTTTCTCATTCTGTATTATCGGCTAGAATGTTTAATCATTTCTTACTGCACAAAGCATTCCCTTTTTTGGTTTCAAATCTCTCTCTTTCACCGTTTCTGCTTCTTTGATCTCTTATATTTTCCATAAAAGCACTATTAATAATAAAAACAACCGATCCTGAAAGAAGTATATCTAGATTCTCCGAGTCTCAATGTTTCATTCGATATATGACAAGACTATATTTTAAAATGTTCGTTTTTTGTTATTTTTGGTGTCTCCTGACTACTGCTCACATTAATCTATCTATGTATAAACCCCAAAACGCAAGTTAGAGCTAGATGGTCCAACTAACTATGTGTATGGGAGGTTGTGGAATAAACGCCTTCAGATGTGAAAATTGAATTTTTTTTCTAGAAATTCAAGTTTTGAATGTCAAATTCCAACATATACACAACTCGCCTTGTGTATGTTTTGTATACTGTATATGTATTTCAGCTTCATCCTAGATTATGTCAAGTCAGATTAAACCTGACTTGACTTTTCACATAATTTGCACATAATATGTGAAAATTGTAATTCTTACCGTGAGAGAATAGCAAAGGCGAAGAATACTGAAATATGAGCTTGTTAGATCGTGTTACAAGATACCATAAGATTTTACAAGATCTCAGAATAATCTTGGTTCAAGAATCTAATAAGGTTTCACAAGATTTTTCTTGCAGCAAGATTCTGTAAGATCTTGCAAGAGCTTATGATAAGATCGTGTATAACTGTGTAAGAACTGACAAGATCTTGAAAGATTTCATAATATCATATAAGAATTCATCAGATCTTATAAGATTATGTTTCTAGTTCTGTCCTACAGATCCCCTTTAGACCTTCTTTGAAAAAAGTGTTTTTAATATTTTCGAGCATAGGAAGGACTCTGACGTCCCTTGGAACGTGTCTAATGCACTTTATTTGTGCTCAGCTGATGTGTGAAGTTGGAGAAAGAAAAAATTTTAAATTTATCATAAGAACTATGGTATATATACTATATATCGTACCAAAATTTATGTGGTAAGAATTCATCATAACTTTTTGTAAGATCTTATAAGATCTTGTAACAAGAAATCGGATGATCTTGTGATAAGAACTGACAAGATCGTGCAAAATCATATAACTTCTTGTTACAAGGTCTTAACATTTCTTATAAGCTGATCTTGTAAGAAGTTACAAGATTCCGCAAGTCTTGTTATACGATCTTGCAAGGTCTCGTAAGACGTCTTTTGCGTTGGAGGTCAAGTTAGGTGATATCGAAATCCAGTTTTATGTGTATGCTGTTTGTAACAAAGTGTGGCTTGACGGACTGATTTATCGCAGCACACCACGGTTTAGAGTGGTATAGGACAGTGTTTCTGTACTGACATATATATATAACTACACTCGTATGGCAAAGAGGGGGGGAGGGAAGTAGCATGAGAGTGAGCTACGAGACAAAATTTTAATGCCGCTTCTTGCTGCTTTCCTACAGATATTCGTCTTTCGAGAATACATTTCATTCCAACGTTTGGACAGGCCCGACATCCCCCGTACACTCAAAAAAGGAAGTTGTAAACTTCATCGTTCCACAGTTTACCAAAAAAGATACAGATGAAACTGGATTTCCACATAACCTAACCTAGGATGAAGTAGAAATAGACAGACAGATATACTGTAGATGTGTATATATAGTGTGGGAACAAGAATTACAATTTCGACATAATCTGACTTCACCGAACCTAGGATGAAGTGGAAATATATACATGAATAGAGAATGCATGTGCATTTGGAAGGATAGGAATCTGATAATACACCAAGGGAGAGATTGTTACTACAAAATCGTGTATTTCGTGTATTTTTGTATTTCCTAAAAATTGGGACACGCCATGCACTTCCTCAAGTTCAGTATTACAGAATCAGATGATCATTTCAAGATCGTTTTCTTATGTTTAGAAATACAACTATTATTTTGTTTTAGTTAATAGTGTTATTTTTTGTTCATTGCAAGTTTTGTATAGCTGTAGATGAAAAAAACTGCCACTGTTGCTATAATTTGTCTATATGACTAACTTATTTATATTAGATAGCCTCGAATGTTCAGTCTAACAAATCATTTTTTTATATTTTATTTCGTTGTCATCGATAGATCGAGAACTACCAAAAAAAAAAACTCGACTATTTTTCTCTTTCTGAGTGTTGTTTTATGTATTGGATTGCCATTTATTCATTCAACCACTGGAGAGAGATAGAAACAAAAACGTCTAGAATTATGCCTTTGACCTATGATAAAAGGGAAGAATCACGACGTTCTTTTTCGCTCTTTCTTTTCTAGAGAAAAAATTATCAAATAGAACCTTCTTTTTTATAGACACTCTTGATATATAAAAAACAGTAGAAAAATAAAATTTTTTATCCATTTTCAACCGTCTCATCTTCAGTACTCTATCATCGCTCGAAACTGTTAGTATTCTATATTTTATATTTACACAAATAATAATCAAAATAATGCAAACGATCAAAGATGCCTGCAATGCTGTTAGTGATAAGGCCAAAGAAATGGTGAGTGGTGCATCTTACGAATCCAATAAGGAAACAGCAAAGGACTCAAGTCAAACAGCTGGTACACGAATTGGAGCAGGAATTGATGCTGCTAAGGACAAAGTCGAAGAAACTGGTCATGCTGCAAGTAAAGAGGTGAATAAACAAAAAGCAACTCATTGAACATCAACTATTCATTAACGTATAAACTTTTATCATCTAACTGTAATTGTATTAAATATATTTGTCTTATATACAGCGTCGACAGTTAGAATCTTATTGTATTTATTTACTGGCAAATATTCATAATTTAGCATGTAGAATTTTCGTGTTTTATATTTTGAAATGGTAGTCATATTAAATAAAATAAGAACGAAATCATTTTCTATACTTATCTATAATGGGTTATCAGAGAGGTGTAGAAGTATCAAATACTTTATATAGAAATTTGTGTTTGTTACTTTTTCAAATACACATTACACTGCATAACATTAAGAAGGTGTATTTCCACCCACATTATACAAATCCACAAGCTTTGAAAATTTGAACAGATAGACTTTGTAATCTTAGACGAGCGAAGTAAAGGTCCTCAATTATTTCTCACAAAAATCGCGTATAACATAATTTTTCGAAGACTCTAAGTTTTTAACTTATACTTTACACTGTCTTACATGAAAAAGAAGCGGTGTCATAATTCTTATTCGAATAGCACAAGAATGAGTTTCTCACAATTTTTTATTTTTAAATGGTAGCCCTAGCACTGAGACCTATCTTCCAAAAAGTGCAAAGTTTGAGATCGTCTGAAACGAATACAACTTAAGGCTTTTTTCTGTGACAATAGTATACATCTAGAGTTACAAAGAAAACCGTGAGTGATTGACCGTACACGTAAGAACGATCAAAACTTTGAGCTTTATTTGAATGATTAGCAACAAATGTACGAATTAAAAAAGGTCTTTCTGTAAATTGAGCATAATGTACCGTTTTTTTTCCTATATAGGAGTTGAAACATGTTGTTATGATTTTATGAATAATGTTCAAACGCAATACACAACAATATAGAATAAGAAAATATTTATAACAAATGAGATCTTTTAATTTTAATATGGATGCTTGTAGATCATGAATATTGCATATTTTTATTCTCAGCCAATTTAATTCAGGTGTGTAAAACGAACTGATACTCTGCAACAAACAGTTTAAGGATTTTGAGAGGATTTCTAGAGATTTTGAAGTTTGAAGTGACGGTTTGATTTGTCGAAAACGCAGTGCAGCGATTTCTTTAATGAACTAGAATTGAGTTCCTGAGCTGTTGCTTTTACCAGGCATCATCCATAATAAGATTATAACAATATCACAAACATCCGTGCATGCCAGAAGTGTCTTATTGAATTTCTCACTTACTGAAGTTAACGAAAAGTTTATCGTCTCAATAGCACGCCCAATGTAACAGAAAAGCGGAGAAACAATTAGCGGAGTGACGCAACTATGGTGCGGCCCAATGGGCCATCGCTTAATAAGATTTGAATTTAGCTCAATGGGATTTAAAAATTTGTGATTTTCTAGGTTTTTGAAAAATCCTTTTTAGCCCAGTGTTTTCTGGAATGTTTCCAGCGTGGCCTAGTCCTTTATTTTGACATAATGGAAGTTGGCTGAATTATCAAAAATTCCTGGTTGCGCCATTGAGTTAAACCCTCATCCACATTAGAAGCCCAGTGGGCTTCTATTATGCCCCGCAAGAAAGGCAAAATTTTCTCAAAAAGTACCCTATGGGGGCAGGGCAATTTTCAAAAAATTTCTTGCCAGACTGGGCTTCTATTATGGGGTGGGCTTCTAATGTGAGGGGGGTTTAGTGGAAATAGAAAATTTAAAAAAGCCCTTTTTTTGCATCGATTTCATTAATTATTTTGTCACCACTAGTATAATCTGACTTTAGGAGCACGTCGTAAGAACCGTTTTTTGACCATGCGATCCATTTCTACAGAGTACAGTTCAATTGACCATTCCAAGTCAAAAGTTTGTTTGCTATTTGTCTTAGTTCTTCGTTAGATTGTCTAGTTGACCCTACACCATAGACCTTGATCTTCTCGCTTAGTCAAGGTTGTTGTATCTTTTCTTAATAAACAGGATTATTATGATTAAAAGTCAAAAAGTTTAAGTTTGATATTTGAAGTTTACGAAAAGTCCTGTACAAAAGATCCACTCAAAAACTTAATGAGTAAAACACGAATTTTTACAAATTTTCCGATTTTCTGAAAATCTATCAAACTCCTATGATTCGTTTATGGCTCATTTGAAAGAGAAATGTTTGCTCTATAAGATCATATATTTAGACATGATAATATGTTTAACTACTAAATAACAGAAAACTAAACGTTTCCGTATTTTTAAAATTGCATTTTTCTCAGTACTTCTTAAATACAGTTACTGTTACTGTTACCTTTTGTTCAAATAATATAAATATATTAAAGCCAGTGGCGGCGCAACAGCGGGGCAATTGTCCCCCCAATAAACTTTGTCTGTTCTGCACTGACTAGAGAAGAACGATTTAAAAAAAGATTGTGCAATCATTATTCTCTTTCATACGATGACCTTCGTGGCTCAGATGAGTGAACCACGACAGTCTATAGAAGATGCAACAAATTTATTTTGAATACTAATCTACATATTCCACTTCCGGTGATGAATGAATTATTTAAAATTCTATGGACAACACCAGTAAACGTATGCCAATGTGAACCTTCATTTTCTTCGTTAACACGTACTTGACACAACTGGTCAAGAACGTCTAAGTGGATTAGCACTGATGAATATTGAACGTAAATTATGAAATTGATATCGATCAAATAGTAAACGAATTCGTAGTCAAAAACGAGGGACGAAAAATCATTTTTCATCCTGTGAACAGTTTAGATATGTGATTTGCACTACAGTTTTGTTTACGGCAAGTAATTTGAGTTGTGAAAAGTAAAAACATAAATGAACAGTAAAAAAGTAGTGAAATATGTCTTAAAAGTTCGGAAAAACTGCGTGAAAATGGCTCAAAATCAGATCTTCTTTTCCCATAGAAACACTGAAAAAAAATTATTGCCCCGCCCAAAGTTTTTGGACTTGCGCCGCCACTGATTAAAGTTGTTGTACTTGAGGCTAGTTTCGTCTTTATTCAGAACACAGCATCAGTCAAATGATGACAAAAAGTTTTTTCTTTCCTTTGAAACACAGAAGAAATAGAAAAAGAAAGACATGTAAAGAAATTTGTTGGTAGAGCAGTTGGAAATAAGTATTTGTAAATCGAATATAGAACTGCTATGAATAACATGACTTTCAGTCTTGAAAATACTTTATTCGAGCTTTCGCCAGCTTTCAGTTGGCATCAT